TTTGCTTAGTTTGCTTTGTCAACAATGGTTGCTGATTGAAGAAAAAAAAATGAAAAAACTAGACATTTCTAGCTGAGCTGCTCATGGTAGGATGGCTAATCTTGTTGGTTGTTGGTGGTTGCCTTCAATGAAGTCGGCAGTTGGCTCTCCCATTGATCTATAAATGGGTAGTAAATGAGAGGAGTTTTGTGTGGTGAAATCATAGAGTGTGAGAGTGACAAAGTGTAAGCAACTAAGTGAGTGTGAGTGTGAGTACAGTGAGAGTATTGTCTCCTTCTCCTCCATTGTTATAATCTGTGCATTTCTCTCCATATAGTGAAATCTACTACCTGTGGATGTAGGCGATTTGCTAAACCACGTAAATCTTTGTGTGTCCATGGTTGTGTGATTGTTTTCTGCCTCCTTGGTACAACAATTAATACATTACATAGGCAGTGAAACACAATGACAGGATTGCTTATTTCTAGCAATAATTTTTTAGTACAGCGATAATTTCATCTTCATCCTAGTTTAGGGGATGGAGAGAGGGTGATCAGATGCTGTGGAGAGTACTCCTACAGTATACTAAACAGCGTCGTTTTGTTTAAGTTAGATGAATGTGAATTTTTTCATCCGATAAAGGTATTTAATGACTTATAACCCTTCAATTACATATGGCCATTTGGCAATGAGCCTTCTTACATTAGTTAAAAGAAATCAATAAAACAATTTTACAAAGAACTTTGTCAGATTACATCTTAAATTGCTCTACTTTTCCTTTGGTTGCTAATGCTTTTTCAGTTAACTTTGTTTCGTGAAGAAAATCAAAATCCCATCCTAACCCAGTTAACTAGTTAAATTCTACTAAATACGGTGAAATCTTCTGTTTTCCTCAATCCTTGTAATGAAAAATACAAACTTTAAACACTTCGAATTTCAATTCTTCTCTATGCATTTTTCCAACAACCAACCAGAAGATTATCATTGCCTACAGTGCTTGGGGGAGAGAGGAAGGATGGTCGCTGTGGGAGAGGATTGTCCTGTGGCAACGAGGAGTGGAGGAGTTTGGTCGGCAGCTGAAGAGGGTAGACGATGGATGGCCATAGGAAGGAGGGTGGGGAGGAAGGAGAAAGAAGAGAAAAAGATCTGTTTCAGTTTTTTTTTTTTTCTTAAAAAAAATGACAAAATGATATTGTTTGCATGATTGCAGGAGTACTCCAGAGGATCCGAAAAGCAGGAAGAGACTGACGTCGTTGATGACCTGGGCTTAAAGAGCTTGAACCACTGAGTATGAGTTAGCCTCATAGGTCACTTTGCTTTACCATTTGTATCTTTATATTTGTGCAAGAGATTCCTAGGTAGACTGCAAAGAATTTCTGGCATGACATGCTTTGTATTAATCATGATAATATTAGTTGCAGTTGAGAATGTGGAGTAAAACTGGTCCTGTGAAAGCTAAATCACAAAATAACTAGCCAGTGTTTCTGCTAATGATTTTGTCTCGTGATAAAATTTGGATTCAACTATATATTTTTTGCAATACTAAAAAACAAAGGAAATTATGAAAGAATGAAAATAACCATAGATTGTCGCAGACTGTGGTTAACATTTTGAATAATGAAATAACACATTACCACCACATCGAATTAAACAAGTCAAATTTGTTAGTGGCACTTGTGACAACATTTTTACTATCTAAATATCTTTCGTATTGTTAAAGCCTGATATATACAAAACAAATCATAAAAAGATTATAATATACTCATGTCAGAATAAATGGACAAATAAAAACACTCATCTTTCGTCTAATCAGAGTTTATGAAAATTTAAAATAACTTTATAGAATTTTTTTTTAAAGTTGGTTTTTTTTTTTGTTTTTTTTGACAATAGTAGTTATTAAAAAAAATTTAATGTGATCTATATCTTCTATATCTCATTAACAGAGAATAGTAGTCCTGGAGATGCAACTCTGACCCACAAAAGCCACTCTAGTTTTAATGCAATCACAAAGTAATTGGTTGAGCTGTACTCATCAGTCTGCTATGTGATCATTTTGGGAGTGCATAGCAGCTTAGGGGTGGTGTTTGTTTTCTTCTTTTTTTTTTTTTTTTTCAAATCTTTTTGCTTTGATCTTGTTTGGTTTGTTACCAACTTGTTGGAATGCTAGTAAATGATTGAGCTTGCTTACTAGTGTCAACCTAGTTGGGATCATTTTGTTTTGCTATGATCTAGTTTTTGGTTTCCTTCATCAGTAAAGTTTCTTTTGCCGATTACAATCTTTCTTCTCATGTTACGTGACAACTTTTTCTATCCTAAAACATTACATCAATAAAGAGAAGGTGTATAAGGCTTGAACCCAAGACTTTAGATTTTATTAAGAACATTCTTACCACTTGGGCAATATGCATATTATAATACTTATTTCTTTTGTTGTTGTGGAACACTCAAATGACAGTATATCAGGGGTAGGTTTCTGAACTTGCTATCATTGTTTATCTACTCTACAGGTATGCATGTCCCCATACACATTACACTGTCTATAGACGAGCTTTGAGATCAGTACATGAATTTGAAGATTAGATTGAAAGAGAAAGATGAAGTCATCGAGTGTGCTCGGGTTTGTTGTCAAGATCTACACTAGTTGAGTTCTAATTTGTATAGTCTCATATTTGGTTTATATAGTCTCAAATTTGGTTTAGGAAGAAACTGATGAAGATGATGAGTTATGTTTGTGTGGGTGTGTGTTTGCATATGATAGATCTGTATGGATATGTGTGTAGGTGTGTGTATTTTGTTGTTATTGTTGTTGATGTGTTGATGTTGATGATGTTGATGATGATAATTAAATAGATTAAAACAAATTTGACAGATTTGTTCAAATTTTAAGCAGATGATACAATTCTATACAGATATGACAGGTTTGTTTTGAACAGATAATAGGGGTTTGGTATTGTAATAGATAGGGGTTGGCTTGGTATAAATGTAAACAGATAAATATAAATTTGAATAGATAAAGGGAAGTAGAGAGAAAAAACAGATAGAAATAGAAAAAAGAAGTGAAGAGAGGAGCAGATAGAGAAATAAGTTTGAAAATGGTGTTAATCTGAACGGATAGGAAAAATAGGTCATAAAATTTTAACAGATAAAAAATAATCAACAAAAAAGTTCAAAAAGTTCAATAGACAAAAATTTTGAACAGATAGTCAAAAAAGTCAAACACATAAAAAAAGGTCAAACAGATAAATTAAGAAGTAAAATTTGAAACAAAATATCTTTTTAGAATAACAAAATGACTTCTCACTAAACTATTTCACAGAGGATGGACCTCTCACTAACAAAAATATCTACTGGACCTAATGTTTTGTACCCTCTTTAGATTGGATTTGTCACCAATTTTCTCTAATATTAATTTTTTATTGTTTATTTTTATTCTTACTTATTTGAATTGCACCCTCTTATACTATTATTAAGTGAGCAACATGCATATTATAATACTAATTAGTATATTATTTATTTTTATTTTTATTTTACTTAATTGAATTGCATGCATATTGTATGTGTCATCCGCTTGTGCTATTATTAAGTGAACACCAAACTTATAGATAGAGGTGGAAAATGTTTGAACTCAAAACCTTATTTTTACCACTTAAGTAACTTATAATATTAATTTTTTTATTATTTATTTTTATTCTAACTTACTTGAATTGAACACATATGATATGCGCCACTCGCTAATTATTTAAAAATAAAGACAAAGAAAAACACATCCAAACTAGTTCGCTACCCAAACTCCTGCTGAGTGATTTATATTACAATGTTATTAATTGTTGGCATCAAAAGACTTTGGTCTTCATTTCTCCCCTTTTCGTGTCTCTTAATCTCAAAAAATAATAATTAATAAATATTGAAACTAATTTATTGAAGAAAGAAGAAGATTATTTCAAAATGTGGACAATTTAAATATTATAATGAAAACACTTATTTTTTATTTTATTTTAAATAAACTACAATTTAAGTTCAAATTATAAATTATCTTTTAATTCGACAAATTATGATTTAATAATTACTAATTTATACAATTGTCTCCAACTCAATCTAATGAACACAAATGAAAACTGTTAATGATTAAATAAACGAAACCAATAGTACAGGGACAAAATAGAAATATTGGAGACAATTTTTGGAAAAAAAAAAAATTTAAGGTTAATTACACTAGCACTCCTTCAATTATTAATAAATATTACTTTTACTTTCTTTTCTTATCTATGAATCTGTACATTTAAGAAGGATGCATTTATTTAATTTTCAAAATTGAGGAGATCGAAATGTATAAATTTATAGAAAAATGTTTGGGACTCCCTTTTGGGGAGACCTCCACCACCCTCACAATGATGTAGACCAATGACGTGTTTGTATTTTTATTTTTTTTCCCTTCTCTTTCGTACTTGGACCAATCACAAGTGAGTAGAGGTTGTGGAGGTTATGTTTTGGAGGGATTTGAATTATTACTGAAATTTGTAAATGAGAGGATAAAGTAATATTATGTTTTATTTATTTGGGTTGAAACATTTTCTAAAGAAAAACTTTTTGAAAAAAAGGTCATGTTATGTTTCTGTAGTTAATGGTGGTGATGGTAGTGTTGTTAATTGTATGGTGATATAGGTACTGTAGCAGGGTAGTGTTATGACCTTGATATGACTTTTAATTTCGTAAAATATTTTTTTGGAGAGCAAAAAGGTAGGGGGTACTAAGGTCAAGCTTGGCAAGTTGTCAAAAAGTTAAAAAGTAAAAAAGTTACTCAAAAAATTAAAAATTTATCACTATTCACCAAAAGTCAAAAATTACGACTGCACAACTCCCAATCCTAATTTTCCCCTGCATACTAATTTATATAATTTTTTAATACACATTTTTTCATAAAAAGTCAAAAAGTTAACCCAAACATCCATATTTTTTTTTCAATTTTTTAGTCTAAAAAGACAAAAAGTATACTTATTTAGTACACCCCAAACAATCCCTTAGAGTTGTCAGACAACCCCTTGACCCTTACAGGGTTAGCTGAGAACAATCCCCTGTGTAACAGTGGACCAGCAAGTCGCACCACAGAGCCACTAATCACGCTCACGGTAGAGAGGCTTTTGTTCATCTACAAGATTTTGGGTCCTGGCTCCTTACAGCTCCGAGATTCCGAGATACAATCCTACAGAACAGATCCTGTTCAAGTAAAGTCATGCCACTTTCTCTTCTTCTAGCCTTATAAATATAGTTTATTTTTTTCTTAACCTTTCGATGTGGGACTCTCTGTCTTTCTTGTTTTTGTTTCTAGGTTGAGCTTGTAAGCATTCTTCATTTTAGATTTGATTTGGATTTGAAAATCTGAGAGAGAAGAAGTTCGATTGAGAATTTGAAATACCCAAAATTGATAGAATAAAGCAGAGGCAATACAGACATATATGCTCCTGTTAGTCTCCTTTTTTTCTTCAATACTTCCAAATTTTGTATTGAACTATCCTGTTTTGTATACTGGAAAAAACTCACCACTCTATTTATTTATAAGATGAACAGACATTTTAAAATAAAGGCAAAAACATTCCCATTCCTAGGGTGTTTGCGGTTTGGATTTGGACGGTTTGTGGATTGGTTTGGACCCGCCCGCATGTATACGGTTTGGAAAAAAGTCAACCCGCAACCGCCTGCAGTGCAATTTGCGGTTTGTGCGGATAGGGTTCGCGGATGTGCCAGAGGTTGCCGGCAGTTTGCGGATTGGACTTTTTTTTTCAAAATTTTATTTTTGAGCCTTTTTTTTCTTCTCATTTTGTAAATATTTATTTTGGGCACTTTCCCCTCCATTTTCTAAAATGCTCCAACGTTAATAATTAATGAAATAAAACTCATAAAATTAAAAACACAACAAAATCAATTCGTAACACGAACAAATCATTCGAAATCCTAAATCAAAACATAAACTAACAAAATGACATATTTCAAAATCCTAAACTAGAATTCCATAGTCATTAAGGAATTTAAAATTCCAAATCACACTTCATCCAGGACACGTTCAGTTATGAAACAATAATAATATGATCAATATTTATTCAGTTTCAGTGATATAATATTATTAGCAAATGTAATGCTAGAGTAAGTTCAAAGAATAAAGAGTGTTTTGTTTTGGACAAAAATATCTAGATAGGATATAAGAATGAAATCAACGGTTAAGATTAATAAAAATAAATAATGAAAAAAGTGCGGGCGGATTCTTGTGGGTACGGGTTAAACCCGTAACCCGCAAATATGTCATATTCTAAACCGCTTCCGCCTGTATTGTGTTTGCGAAGCCGCCCATTTGTATGCAGGTTGGACGAGTTGGGCAAATTTTGCGGATTGGAAAATGCGTCTGATCAATGTGGTTTCTAATGGGAGTTCCTTGGAAGTTCCAGGACAAGTGGTCATCCTTGTAGGCTTGACTTGATTATGTGGTTTGTTGCTTAAAATTTGTTTATGTGCTGTGTGATTACACGTTAAGTTGGTTTGTGTCTTGGTAAGAGGAGTAAGTGTCTCGGGACATAATTAAAGTTCGGTCGATCGATGTTTGAGGTTGTTATTGATAGATTGTCAAGGCAAGCTAGAAGAGGTCACGTTGGGACTAAGAATGTAGGTGTGGGGTATGCATTGATCTATGAGTTTTAAAAATTGAATTAAGATGTTTTTGGAAAGTGGGAGTTATATGGTTTACTAGGAAGCATAGTTGGGACGATAGGAATCTTAGGATGGTATGAGGTTAGTACGAGTTACTTAGCAATCGTGAGAGTGCTTGGTGGTGGTATGAAAATTGTGCTTCATGATGATAAAAGTAGTGCTAGCGTAAGATGTTGTGAGCTAGTGGTTGTGTGTGTGTAAAGGAGTGAGCAGTATTAGAGTATGGGGTTCATGCGTATGAACAAATGATGGAAGTGGTTCTTGGGAGGAAATGTGAGTCATGTTTCCTAATAGTAAGTGTTGTGCAGATGGTAACTGTTTTATGTGACTTGAAATAGGTGTTATTATATCGGCTTGAGAATGATGGGACTATTGGGAATGTTGCTAGTGCAACGTATATTCGAGAAGTCTAGTGAGATTCTAGAAATGTATAGGAGGGTGTATGAAGCTCCATCTCGGAGTAGATAGAGTGAAGTAACATATAAGTGTTGGTAATCCGAGTCTAGGGGTGGATTGTTATGAACTTCTTGGCTCTATTTATGTGAGAATAATAGGTGCTGGTGATTATGATAATCATAAATTATGAGATGTGAAATGATATATGTATCAACATTTGAGCAGTGAGAGTGGATAATTGGTAATTTGGACTAAGTTGCGTAAAGAAGATGGATTCTTGTAGTCGTTCCCTTTTGTGGGATTTAAGGATTAGTTTGGGTTAATTTGTTTTGGTTTAACTTGCGATCAGTGGTTTCAATAAATGTTATTTGAATTCAATTGATGCCTAATTATCTTGGGATTTGCTTTGTGTTAGATAAATAGAGATATGGTTGGGTAGTGCCTTTGGTGGCACATGATGACTGTAATGCCCTCAAAATAAACCCAAAAACAGACATCTATAATACAAGAAATAGATATCACATCTCATAAATCAGAGTATTCTTACAGAATATATTACATGTTGATAACAAAAGTGAATGGCCTACGGGCTTACAACTTTCCAAGTCAACACTTGGTTATAAAAAGGAGAGTACTAACTCTACACAAAATAAGCTCGTGGCTTGATATACATGTAATACAACAAGTAATCAAAAGGATCTCTCAGCCACTAAGCCTCCCAAGCTATGTCCTTGGAGGTGGCATGTCACCTGCACCTGAAAATGATGTCCCAAATAGGGTGAGCCAACACCCAGTAGAGATATGCTAAACATAATATGAGCAATAACTAAAACATTAGCAGTTGAAAAATGTTTAACTCATATGAACCAACATACAGTACAATCCAGTTCCATAATCCTTTACTTAACAAAATCTCAACTTATAAACACGGCTCAGAACCTGGCCAAACAACTTAAATGAGACTACATCTCATGCCAACAATACTTCAAACTGCCATTTTACGAAAATTGCGTCCGCGGGATTCGGCACCCATGTATAATTATTTTCTTGTGGCCATTTTACGGAAATTTCATCCGCGGGACTCGGCACTTATGTATAGATATTTTCGAATTGCCATTTTACAGAAATTTCATCCGCGGGATTCGGCACCCATGTATAATTATTTTCGAATTGCCATTTTACGGAAATTTCATCCGCGGGATTCGGCACCCATGTATTCAAATGCTCATCATATATAATGACCAACAATACTTCAAACTATCATTTCATGGAAATTGCGTCCACGGGATTCGGCACCCATGTATAATTATTTTCTTGTGGCCATTTTACGGAAATTTCATCCGCGGGACTCGGCACCCATGTATAGATATTTTCGAATTGCTATTTTACAAAAATTTCATCCGCGGGATTCGGCACCCATGTATTCAAATACTCATCATATATAATGACCAATCAATATACATATACGTTGTATTATTCCAACCGTCATACTCAATGACATACTCAAATTGATTAGTTTTAATTCACCTAATCATCATGCAGTGTCTACAACAATCAAGACTATCCTCCACCGATAACCCAAAGCAGTTATTTCTAAATAGATAATAAATGCACTAACAGATAAATTATCAATAATTCTCAAAGGTGAGTGATTATTAAGTCCAACTCCACCATTCTACTACATAATGAGCCAATTTCATTATTCCCAACTCAATTTCATATTTCCATAGTAAATGTCATTAATTACACTAATGACCCAAATATACCCAAACATGGCATTTTCCTCTCTTTCCTCAACATTGACGCAAAGGTCCAAATACTATCAACAACATCAATACCATCAAATTAAAACCCAAGATACACATTTATGAGTCAAAATAACCAAATCCCTCTTTATTCATTTTGAAACCCTAACACCCAAAATTACCCAACTTCAACATTACATCAAAATGACCAATAGTTTATGTCAAAGACCATAAAAATGAGTAGTTATCCCTACCTCAAATTCGGAGACCAAATGGAGAAGTTGAAGAAAATTCGAAGTGTTCCAAACCAAGAGATTTTCGGATCAAAGTGAAGCTCACACCAAGCACAACCTTTTTTACAAAGGGACTAGGCTAAGTAACAATAGAATTAGATCAAACCTTAGAGAGAAGGTGAAATGTAGTGAGAGAAGCTCTCAAAAATAAGTTTTGAAAAGTAAGAGAGAGAGTGAGAGTTGAAAAAGTGATTTAAAATCACCCAGTTGCCATCTGATATGCGACTAGTCCGCTCGAGCGGAGAATAGGATGCTTGAGCGTCAAGCACAAAAACTGGACCCGCTCGAGCATCAAGACACAACTGCAAAACACATCCGCTCTAGCGCAAAGAGAAACTCGCTCGAGCATAGATTACCCTCTCCCAGTATTTTTACAGACATTGAACACCCGCTCGAGCGCAAAAAGGTCCGCTTGAGCGTAGAAATCAACTCGAGCGTGAAAAACACATCTGCAGTATTTTTTGCAGATGGACAAACTACTGAAGGTATGCAAACTCCGCTCGAGTGCAAGAAGACCTGCTCGAGCGGATCACTAAAAACCTGGGCAACAAGAGTTTGGACAAAAGCTCAACCAACCTGTTTGAAACACGCCTAAGACAATTCTAAACTCAAATACAATGATTTAAAGGAAGAAAATGAAATGCAGACAACAACAACTATCAACAGAACCGAGTCCGGAATACAGTAAACATGAGAGAGAAAATCGGGATCGCTATAATGACATTGGATCTTACTCGTATATATATGTACGTTGTTGATGTGAAATTGTGAAACCACTCTAGTTGAGTTAAAAATGTTTGAATGTAAATTGTTGTAAGCGCACTTGTGCCAATGTATAACTTGATTGCTCGTGTTGATATTTGTAATGATAGGGAGACTTCTAACTTGTGGAAAGCCGCATGTGCTATGCTACTTTTTGGATGCACTGTAATTGTTTTTATTCTTTGTTAACACAAGTATGTATGGAAAATGTGTTGTGATGTCACCGGATGAGTGGCGGGGGTTATTTGGTGGTGATTGGAATTCACCGGGAGAATGTTGAGCTTGATGTGGAAAATGAAACTTTCTTTTCCTTGTGTGTGGCCTGGGAAAGCACGGTTGA